AAGTTGTGAGTTTACAGAAAAAGTGGGTGAGCTAGAAAAAGGTTGATAGAAGGCTTAAAAAATTGTAAAAGAGAACATAAAAGTGGGAGAGAATTCCAAAGCACTGATTTTTGAGGAAAAAAACTTGGTGAATAAAAGTTTTTTGAGCATGATAAAATAGTTACAGTAAAAGGATGCAGAATGACATGCAAAATTGAGTTTTGGTTGATTAAACAATTGATAGCTTGCTCGAACAGCGACAATGATTTGTAGAAAAGAGAAAGAGATTCAACATCTATGTTTTATCTATGATATTTTGAGTTTTAGTCATGTCTGAAAAATCTGAGGTATGGAAGTTTTTTAGAAAAAACGAAAAAAAAATTAGTGAAGCCACATGTGGTAGGTGCAACATGAACATAGGATGGAAAAGTTCAACCACTGCTATGATTAACCATATAAAACTATGACATAACATATTGATATCTAAATCAGGATCAAGTGAAAATTATGGATTAAATGATATTCCTAAGAAAAAGAAGAAAAAAAGAAACAATTAGTTTGGTAATTTGTTAAAAAAGAGTCTTTAAAAGGATCCCAAAGTGCAGAGTTATTTTCATATTAAAGAGAATGATAAAAAACAAAATAATAAAGTTATACCAAAAAAAACTAACTTTGTTAATTTACTCTAAGCTCACCATTTCCATGTTAGCATTGCAGTCTACATAATTTATAATTTATTCAAGTGCGTTTAATTCCAAAGAGTTTTATTATATGACATCATTGTAGGATTCTTTTTTTTTTTGAATCAATATTTGTTTTTTGTTTTATTTGATTTTTAAAAAAAGCATTTATCACCAATCATATGACTTTTGTTTAAATTTTATAGGAAACTAAACAAAAATTTTTTTTATAGAGCACGAGAACCAAAATTTTTATGATGCACACTTAAATATGATATATAAATAAATCTTAAATATAATAGATAAATATATAATAAAGATGTTAATCACCTTGTTATATATTCTGAGTCTTTTTTTTTAAATGTAAACGATGTGAACTTTTTTTCTAGTTTATCTAAATCATTTATCGCTATCGTTAACACTTAGCAAATTTACAGACACCTTTTTTTATTAATTAAAGCAATAATAAATGTTTTATGGCAATAATTCAAGACAGATAGCAATTAAAATTTTTAATGTGTTGCAGCGCTTGTTAAAAAACATATTATACTTAACATTTCCCAATTTATGTTGTATTTGGCAACTATTTTACATTAAAACCTGTCTCTTAACATTACAATTCAAAAACCTACCAGAATTGACAATAAAAAGTTTTTCTTAACACAATTTCAATTTTAAAATTGTTTCGATAATGCTACACTTTTTTGCAATCTTTGGCAATAGTTCAATTTTAAAAATAAAATAAGCAATAAATAAAAATTGTTTAAATAAAAATTTCGAGAATATTTGTTCCCTGTGAAAAGTTTAGAAAATAAATGCAAAAAAATTAAACTTTTAAAAGGTTAAATAATACAAAATAATTTTTTTAACAGAATCTTAAAGATAATAATCATTTAATAAGTTTAACACTAATAATAAATAATTTATAGCAATAGACAAGCTTAACATATCTGAAATATTTTATTCATATTTTTAATGCAAACTTCTTTAGAATAACTAAAAAATAACAATTTAAAATTACTAAAAAAATTCAATAGTTGTTTAATGTTTAAAACTTTTATATAGTAAGTAGCTAAACAAGTTCTTTAGTAAGTAATCTATAATGAAAAAGAAAAAATTTCTTTAATAATGTCATATACTAAAACACTTTAGAATTAAACATCCTTTAATAAATTATAAAGACTGTAGATAGCAGTATATATATTTCAAAGACTTAAAGAAACTGGTTAACATGGAGGCGGCAAGTTTTGATTAAAACAATAAAGTTTAGTTTTTCTTGGCATACATTTATTATTTTGTTTTACTCAAAAAAATTCAGCCCAAACATTTTTTTTTATCATTCTCTTTAATATGAACCCAACTTGTGGGATCCCTTTAAATTAAATATTGTCAAAATGTTCTAGCTGTTGATAGAATGGCGATCACAGCAATGAGTAAATCTCAAGCTATTGCTGGTTATATGCAACAAAAAGGACAAAAAGTCCACTAACTACTAAAAGTGTATCAGCTTTTATAAAGTAAAATGTGCTGAACTTCAGCAAAATTTCTGAAAATTTAAAAAATGTAAAGCATAAATTTGCAATTACAATGGAAGAATGGACAGTTAGGTGTTTTAAATCAACTTTGCCATCATCACACGCTGCATTTAGCTGTGATGGATTGTTTTTATATACCAAAAAGTTATATTCCCGATGAAATGTTTGATATTGAAAATTTGGTTGATGATGATTTGGAAGAACAAATAGAAAATTCCATAGAAGATCAGTACACTGATTGCAATTTAGATTTTGGTGAAGAAAATGAGTACATTATAACATTGAATACTGACTTTGATTTATCACCAATTTAAGAGGTGTTATAAAAAATCTTTAGAACAATGTTTAAAATACCTAACATTTGATTTTGCAACAAAATATAACTAAAATAATGGGGGAAAAACTCAAGTTAAATTTTACATAAAAACTCGATGGAATATTCCTTGAATGTAATAATTTGATAATTTTTAATTCTATCTGAATGTATTAAAAAATCCTTAATTGAATTTAATTCAAATTAAATTTTGTTCTCATTTCAGAAAATGATATTTTTGCGCTGCAAAACCTTATTGATGCTCTCGCACCAGTTAAAACTGCTGTTACTGAATTAAGTAAAAATGATGCAAGTTTCATAACAGCTGAAGGAGTTACCAATTTTTTTTTTGAAAAGTTGCAACCAATGCAAATAGTATAGGGTCAAACCATATTTCAACCAATGGCCTGTGGGTCACCATCTCTGATTTTCCTGATTTTTACATATTATTATGTGCATTATGTAGATAAGTTAAATTTGAAATTTCAGGCTTCCAAGTACAACGGTTCAGTAATTATAGCCTTAGAAACATGACAGTGGTCCCCCTTGATTTACAAATGGTTAAAGCCGACTACTTTAGAGCTGTATAGGCAGCTTGTTGCAGTTTATAACTCAAATATATATAAAAGCAAAATGTCCATTTGCCTAAAAAGATCAATTTTCAGCCATTTTGAGATGCTTGTAAATTTTTCTAACACTTTGTTTTAATCTAAGATTAACATCATATTAGACCATTAGACCCAGCTATTTGAAAATGCAAACAATATAAACTTGTCAAATTCACACCAAAAATGCCAGCATTATTAAATATGTCTATATGAAAAGTGCTACTAATTATAAGTCATTTCTTAATAAAAAAAAAAGATATGGTTGGTTGTCTTCTCTTTCATCTGGTCTTTATAGTAGATAGGGATACAAATAAAGGGGGCAGTACCTTTTTAGAGACCTTCATTATGGTTCAAATAATGGTCTCTAAATTAGTTTAGATATTTAGATACTTAATATCTAAATATCTAAATTAATTTTAAATTGATAGTGTTATTTCTTTAAATTTTATTTTATTATAGGTGATAAGTGGTCTGTATGTGGTCTGGACCCCACCCCACCCTCCCCCTGAAGTGGGGGTGAAGTGGGATCATTTGTAAATTGAGGGGGGCCACTGTCATGTTTTTAAAACTATAATTTCTGAACTGTTGTACTTGGAGGTCTGAAATTTCAAATTTAACCTTTCTACATAATGCACATAACAATATGTAAAAACCATTAAAATCAGAGATGGTGACCCACAAAGTTTTCTTCAAATAGGTTGAAATATAATGATTCAACCCTAGCCAAAAAACTAATACATGCTATCAAAAAAAGGATGGATGAATGAAGAGATCCAGTTTTAATGACTGATAATTTATCTACAGAATAGAAATATACCAAGTTCTAACGATCATTTTAAATATTCCTTAAAAAGTGTGGCAATTTCATTTGCTGTTAAAATAACAGAGCAGATACATCCACAAATGTTTACAGATGAGCATGTCAATATTAATAATGATGCTAACTCTTCTTCATCTGATGCAGGTATAACATCACAAGTTGGATTGCTTAAAGAACTCCAAAATGCAATAATTCTATTTCAGATCCACAAAACACACAAAATTTTTGCCAAGTTGATAAATATATTGAACTGAAGAAAAAATTTTGTCAATTATATTCTTACAAACAACGATTAATTTTTAAAACATTCAATTCACTTTTATTTTTAAAATATACGCTTTTAGAAAAAAAATAGTTTAAAGAATAATAGAATCATTCAAAATTAATGATTAAGCATTATTATTGTTTAAATTATTATTTTTCTTAATTTTTGTTATTAGATTATTTTACTTTTGATAAACTATTTGAGTATTAGAATATTTTCATTTTTTTTTTTAATTCAATAATCGAATAGTTGAAAAGCTTGAGTAGTTGGATGGACTATTAATGGTGTTTATAAAAAAAGTTTTGCCATCCCTGGTCTTAATAATACAGCAGACAAATTTTCTTTTTCTAACATGCATTTTTTTTGTATGCATGTTATGCATGTTTTTGTTTTTTTAAAAGATGTATTCAAGATATAAAAATAGAATAAAATAAGTTTATTAAGACTTTATTTTATTTACATTTTAAAAAAAAAACTATTAAGGCCTCTCTAAACACCCTTGCCTGCAGCAGCTGCCTATGCTGGTCTTGGGTAAAGGCCTGGTCACAGTATTAAACTAAAAAGATAATTAACATAAATTATGAAACAGTTTTTTCACCAATATAGTGGTATACAACATGAATAATGTTGAATAAGTAAAAAAAGATGCAATCAGCGTTGAACAATTCAAATACACATTAGACGAACCTTTTAAATACTTTTAAATAACTTTCATTTTTATTACAGTTGTTATGGTTAAAAACTCTGCATAGTTCATGACTGTGTTACATAACTATTATCTTTTATTCTATAATATTTAGATAAACCAAAATAGTGCATCATTGTCAAAAACCCCTATAGAAATAAGTGGCACCCTCGCCCAGAGAGAAAAAGCTAAAAAGTTAATTGAAGATTTAACTATTCAACCTGGTGACTTGCAAGCTTGGGCAGATAAATGTAATAGAGAATTTGCAGAATCACGGCTAACAGCTCCACCAGTTGGAATAAATTGGGGTGAACTAAAGTTACAGGCAGAAGAGTATGAGATTAAAAAATGGGCAGACTGTCCTGATATAATAAAGAAGTTTTACAAGGAACAAAATCATATTGCTAAAATGACTGAAGAAAAAGTCTTAGAAATTAGGTTTGTAAAAACTGAAGATAAATTGTCTTTTTTTAATACCAATTTTTTTTAATGTAATTTTTTCATTTTCATAATTTTACACATATTCTGAGTTTTTTCAAGGTCTAAAAGACATTAACTTTTTTTAAAATATTATATCTATATATGTTATAAAAGCTTATATATCTTGAATCGTTTATAAAGCATTGTTAAAATTTTATTGTGATTAAAGTTTTTTAGAAAAAAAAGAAAGTTGATAACCATGTCAGAAAGTTGATGTGATCATGATATAAAACAAATGAAATGTATTTTCTATACACGGTTAGCACGGATCTTTATAATGCCTACCTAGCTGTCCCAAGAATGCCACTTATACGGAAAGTTAGTCTACACATCAAGGTACCCTGTGATGCAAATTTTGAAATCATTTAATTTTGTCCGCGGAAAATAATTTAATTTGAATGTTCAAATTAAGTCAAATTTTGACTTCATAGTGCGCCAATAAAAACACTTGTAAAACTTGAACCACTCAATATAATTTGATAAAAATTGGTGCAAATGTAGCCAATAGTCACACCAAACTCTGGACAAAATTTCAGTCTGATTGGATGACTGGTGTAGGATTTATTGCAGTTTTAGTTGAAGTTTTGTCAGTTTTTTGCTACTTATACCTCAAAACGTTACAGGTTACTTTGAAATTCGGTCACTACTTTTAAAATAACGGTTACATGAGTGTTCTACTATGTAATACCAACAATTTTTGTTATAATTATTTTATCGGTACATGTGCAGTTTTCATTTTATAGAACAAAATAGTGATTTAAATAGTCTTATGCTAATAGTGTCGACACGGCCTTTAAAGTGGGGTTGATTTCCTCAATTTCTAAAGTAAAATCTATAATTTCTAAAATAATTGCCTATATTTCTAAAACAAAAGGTCCTTGCAAAAAAAAAAAAAAATGGAGAAGGGTATGACCCCCTAGCCTCCCCAGTGTCGACAGCCATGTATGCTTCACTTGAATATACCAACATTTCCTTAGGTATAAACTGCTGCAAAATAAAAAAAGCTAAAAAAAAGTGCAAAACCTGGTCAAAGGACTACCAGTTAGTAAAACAAAAAAAAAAGTAGAGCTCCTAAAATATTTTGTATTGACCTCCTTAAATACATTTACTTTTAAAATGAAGTGAAAACTATTTAAACCCTATTTTTTACATTGTATTACCATCAAATATCTAATTACATTTTAAGAAATGTTTTTTTGATTTTTTCCACCAAAAGATTATTAATAAATAGCTCAATGTACTCTTTTAATACAAATACTCTATAATACTACTTTTAAAGATGGTGAAAATATTCATTATACGCCGTAAAATATTAATTTCAGTCTTTCTTTGTACTCTGAATGATTATTATTTCGTTTATACCTCGACCAATGTTGATAAAAATTTTGATGAGAAGTTTCGACAGTCTGTCCTTTGTGACTGATGAAATCCTTGATGTGGTAGAAGACGGTGTGAATTTTTGGTGTTACGCTTGCATCAGTTATCATTAGGTAACACTTTTTGAAATTTTCAATTTTTTTAGCGAAATTCAGCTAAAGGATGTATCCAAAGCAAGCCTTGACAACTAAATTGAAGCATTTGAATGCTTCAGTTATGCACACAATATTGGGAACCATGTTTGTCTCAGCAAGTTGTCGCAGCATATCCACATTTTTAAGAAGCTTCCTGCATTCATTTCCCTTAAACTGGCCCCGTGATACGGGTTCAGTTGAATGTGAAGGGCGGCTGGCCACTTCACATTCAACTGCTTCTATCCAAGCAGTTTTGAGGATCTTGAAAAGATGGTTGACAACTCCTAAGAGGAGATGCAATTACATCGGTGGAATGATTTCCAAAATCAGAACATTGAAAGGCCGCAGATGATTTGCATTAGCAACAACTCCGCCAGATTGCTGAAAAGACTTAAGGCTTGAATTAATTGAGCCCAGTGTTCGCAAGTTTCCAGATTTGGCAAGACTATTGGAATTGACATCACACCAGGTGCAAGGGTGCGTACTTGAATGAGTTTGAAGACCACAAATTATATTTGCAACTTTCATATCACAAGCCAAAATTAGTTTAACTTCTTTTGCATTAATCAGTGACCAGATTTGTTCAATATTGGAGTGTGTTTATGGCAAATCTTCTGAAACCCCAACAATAATTTGTCTCTTTACTCCAGTGTCTTTACCAGTCCTTTAAATGAGAGGTTGTTGTTGGTACGGTGAGCTGGTTTCATCCCTTAACGCAGTATCAACAATGCTTAGGCAAAAATTGAGAAAACCTTTACCACCATCAATTCTAAGCTTAAAAAAATAGCCACTAGAAATTTTGCGGGACTGAATAACATGATTCACAAGACTTGATAAGACATTGCAGCTAGCAACAACATGAACTGTATAAGAATCTGTTTTTTCATCTGTAATTTTTAAGTCGCTGTAGAAGAAGAAGTCGCTCAATTGTTGACCTAGTCTTAGAAAATTCATGTAGAAATTTCGCTCTACCATCTTGCTGCTTGATGTTTTGTTTATAGTTCTAACAAGTTTTTTTAATCCGTTGTTTGACAGGCCCATATTTAATTGCACATTTACAAGGGCTACAGTGGTCAATTTCGGATCACTTGATGGTGTCTGCGCACTACTTTGACCTAAAACCAAAACATACATATTTTATAGTTACAATAAACTTTGTTTAGTAAGTTTGTGTAAAACTTTCAAATTATTTGTTAAAGAAATTAGAAACTTGTCAAAAATATACTTCTTGAAATCTATCTAGTGTTATTTTTTAATAGTCAAGACTTTATTTCAATATATATGTTAAAATTATTTAAGTATAAATATTTACTAGGGGTAACTGTAAATAGAGGCCCGCCGGATGCTTTAGCCAGTAGAATAGTTCCTTCCGGAGATAATTCTTTATTGGAAATAACTTAAGATGCGATTTGTTTGGATGATTTGGCATCTCTTGCTGCTAAAGATTGAATGTTTTCCCTTAACATTATTTGATAGCATTGGTAGGACAAACCTTTTCCTAAAGGGCTGAGGCATTTCCTGCAATGCACCTTTGGTTTTTTCTCAATAGTGGTTTGCTCTATAAGAGGATGTTTTTCTTGCAGCTTTGAACAACCAATTCAGCATATTAGGTAACAACACATTGTGCCTCTTGTTTCAGATCTCACTTGTATTGACTTAAAATCAAACAAAGGAGGGAGTGCAACTTCTTTCCCCTCTTGTTTCCTGCGCAAAGTAATTCTACACGATTCGCAGAATTTTTTTGGTACCTGAATATCACTGATATTGATCTTAGTCTTGTATAGTTTCATATTCGATTGCTTGAAAAGTAGTAAGCTGTCTTAAACATTTTTTCAGACAGAGCAAGCACACAAACTTTCAATTTTCATCATGATTCTTTGCTTGATTTGGCATCGTGGCAGTTCACTAAATTTGACTACACTAAATCAAACTCTGCCTTTTACAAAATTTGACCTAAATTTATATTTGATAACAATCCACTTAACATAGTAACACCTTATTAATTAAAAACTATTAAAATAAAGGAAATATTTACTTGATTTAATTGAGGTAATCTTAAATTACAAGGAAAAATTCTTGAATAGTTCATTCTTTACCAGGAAACAATTGTTTAAACTATTTTCTTGTAAGGAAATAACATTATTGATAATTGTCACACTTATTAAACTAATGATACTTGTCACACAGGTTGTTGTATTTCAAAACAACCCTTCAACCTAATTAGTTATTCAGTAGAGTAATTTTCCTCTGATTGGCCCTCCAAACTTTGTATTGGTCAGATATCTTTTTTAACTTATCTAAATTTTTTAAGTCAATTATCTTTGTCAATATAAAAAATATTTGGTTTTTTCACAGTTGTTCTGTTTTTAGATGAAAAATATTTTTATTTTCTATGTAGGTATCCCTAGAAATCCTTCTTGACCATTTTTTTAGAATTTTTTTGCATTCTGGCAGTAGTTTATACCTTAGGAAATGTTGGTATATTCATGCTATGCATACATGGCCGTCAAGGGAGCCATGGCCTGCCCACTTTTTTTTTGCGAGGACCTTTTGTTTTAGAAATATAGGAAATTATTTTAGAAATTATAGATTTTTTTTTAGAAATTGAGGGGTTGACCCCCTCCACTTTAAAGGCCGTTTCAATGCCATTGGCATAAGGCAATTCAAATCACGCTTTAAATAGCAAATCACTATTTTGGTCTGTAAAATAAAAACTGTACATGTACCGATAAAATAATTATAATAAAAATTGTTGGTACTACATAGTAGAACACTTATGTAACCGTATAAGTAGCAAAAAACTGACAAAACATCAACTAAAACTGCAATAAATCCTACACCAGTCATCCAATCAGACTGAAACTTTGTCCAGAGTTTGGTGTGACTATTGGCTACATTTGCACCAATTTTTATCAAATTATATTGAGTGGTTCAAGTTCTACAAGCGTTTTTATTGGTGCACTATGAAGTCAAAATTTGACTTAATTTGAAAATTCAAATTAAATTATTTTTCGCGGACAAAACTTAATGATTTCAAAATTAGCATCACAGGGTACCTTGATGTGTACACTAACTTTCCGTATAAGTGGCATTCTTGGGACAGCTAGGTAGGCATTATAAAGATCCGTGCTAACCGTGTTTAATAAAGTATATTTCTTCATAATATATATTTCTTTGTAAATAAAACATTAAAAAAGGCACAAGCATTAAACCAAAAAAATCTAAAAATAGAAATACACAGCATAAAACAAAATAAATAAAACTTGTATATATTACTATAATGACATATTTGAACTGCATGCATCTACTCTCACCCCTCGTGTGTGCACGATTTTTTGAACTGCATGCATCTACTCTCACCCCTCAGTTGTGCAGGATTTTTTGAACTGCATGCATCTCTTATTACACTGTCTCAATTATGATTGCTAATTTCAGAGATAACTACCAATCAGAGAACACTTTATTTGCAAACTGTTAGCATTTGAGGGAGAAAAAAATTTTATGTGTAAACAAGCAGCTATTTAGCAAACCTGATCAATGTAAAATTTACCACAGCTAAAAAGTGTAGTTTACTTGTAGCTGAAGGGTAAATTTTGGAAACTTGATGCACTGGAAAAAAATTGACTTCAAATTCGGAATCAGTACATTAATTTTATTTAAAATTACTATGAAAAGCGACAGTATTTTTTTTTTAATTGTTCACTAGTTATCAGTGATTGCTTCCTAATTATTAATGATTGTTTCCTAGTTATCAATGATTGTTTCCTAAATATCAATGATTGTTCCCTTGTTATCAATGGTTGTTTCCTAGTTATCAATGATTGTTTCCTAGATATCAATGATTGTTTCCTAGTTATCAATTATGGTTTCCTAGTTATCAATAATTGTTTTCTAGTTATCAATGATTGTTTCTGAGTTATCAATGATTGTTTTCTAGTTATCAGTGATTGCTTCCTAGTTATCACTTTATTTTTGTCTAAAAATATTGTCATGGCAACTGCATTATGTTTAAAATCAATGTTTTTATTTTTTTATTTTTTTAATGTTGATAATATTTGTTTGTTGGAATTTCTCACCAAATATTTTAAAAATATGTTTAAAATTTTCATTAGAGTAATTTATATAAATGCTTTTTCATAAAAACTAAACAAAAATCCTGCTGCAGGGTCTGTACTTTTGTATTTAAGTGTGATTTTTAAGTGTGACCCTTGTACTTTTGTACTTTTGTATTTAAAACAATTTTTTTTACAATTTGTTTGAACAAAGGGAGCTGAAGAACAAAATCACTGTATCAGACTTAAGCAAAACAAGTCGTAAAATTCCAAATCCTGTTCTTACATTTGATGATGCTTTTTATGATTACCGTAAGCCATTATTTTTTTTTAGGTTAAAGAAATTTTTTTGTTTCTAAAATATTTGTTGGTAATATTATACTCTTCTGATGTTTAGCGGAGATACTTAGCACTATTAAAAGTAACAACTTTACTGAGCCATCTCCAATTCAGGTATGTTATTTCTTACTATTATCATTTTCCTTTAATGATAATGTTGTTTTTCCATGTTTAAATCTATCTGAAAAAAATTTTTGTAGTCTTTAATTGAATTGTTGCATGTTTGTAAAAAAAAAAAACAGTTTTTTTATTACTCATAAAACTACTTTGAAAAGTTGTTGTTTTTGACCATGTTTAACACTGTAGTGGTGTAGTGGTCAAGAGCTTATTTTGTAAATGAGAGGCATGGAGTTGAAACTGAATGAATGTATCATGCTCAACTTGTTTCTTTGTGCTTGTTAGAGTTTGTGTTTCAGAGTCAGGGTTTAAAATAGGTTAAAAATAAAGTGTAACCTAGGTTATAGAATAACCCACAACCCCACAACATAGGTAAGTAAGTAAAATAAAAATATATTTTTTAAAATAAAAAAATTTTTATTTTGATAAATTCATCCTAGCATTGTTTATTCAACTAGTTTTTTTAAAAAATAAATTTTTTTTTGCTTAGAGACATTAAGAATTTCTGTATTCATTTTATTTATATTTCTATAAAGTGTTTTACTTTTTTTATAATTATATTATTTTTTTATAAAGTATTCTCTTTTTCTCTCTTTTTTTATGTATTATCTTGTCAAAGTAATTTCTTATACTTTTAATTTTCTCTCTTTTTTTTTTTTAAATTAAAGTATTTATTAGAGATACAATGAATTACTATGTTTGCATGATATAACAGTATAACATAAACTACTATGTTAGCATGATATAACAGTATTACATAAAGTACTATGTTAGCATGTTCTAACAGTATTATTTTTTATCATGATGTATTATTTTTGATGTATTATTTTTGTATGTGTTATTTTTATTTGTATGTGTATGATGTATTATTTTTATAATTATGTAAACTTATAATAACAAAATACATTATTTACTTTAAATATCGTTGAAATATTGAAAGTAAATATTAAATTAAAATTAAATTTATATATTTGTTAAATATAATATTGTTGAAATATATATCAATGTTGCAAAATTACTCAAGTATTCAAAATTTATTTTTAATTAGTTTTTAATAATATCAATAAATGATGTTTTTAATAACAAATTTCTTCAATATTACAAATTAAAACTTGAAGTAATGAGTTTTTATAACAAGTTTTAATGTTACAATTTTTTTTGCGTAGTGTCAAGCTTGGCCTGTTTTACTTTCTGGTATGGACTGTATTGGAATTGCTCAGGTTTGTGAATATTGTATGTTTATAAATAAAAATTTTAACATAAATAACATATTGAATTTAATTTTTCTAATAAACAAAATAGTTTTTTATTTCTTGGGATAGACTGGAACTGGCAAAACATTAGCATTTCTTCTTCCAGCATTTATTCATATAGATGGACAACCTATGTAATTATGTACTTTTTTGTTTTTGTCAAGTCTTAAGTGTTTATAATACTGTGAAGTAGTTTATTTTGTCATATTACGTGTAAAAGTGTATACATATACTAAATATAGAGTATTTGTAACGTTTTTTTAGACCACGAGATAAGCGGGGTGGACCCTCATGTTTAGTGCTGTCTCCTACCAGGGAGTTAGCTCAGCAAATTGAGATGGAAGTAAAAAAGTTTCATTATCGTGGAATTCGAAGGTACTTTTTTTTTTTTTTCAATTTTTTAATATAAATATAAAATACTTTATATAAAGTAATAAAAAAAATATAAACTGTCTTTAGTGTTTGTATTTATGGAGGTGGAGACCGTAGTGCACAAATTAATCTTGTTCGACAGGGTGTTGAAATTATTATAGGTATTTGAAACTTTGAAATTAAGTTTTAGAGTAATAAAATTTAATAATCATTTTATTGAAATTTAATAAACATGTAATAATTTTGTTTTTTAGGAACACCAGGAAGATTAAATGATTTGTTAATGAATGGATTTTTTTCGGTCAAAAGTGTCACATATTTAGTATGCTTTTTTGATTTTCAAATTCTTTTTTTTTTAATTAATGAATTTTTTGGCAGGTCACGGGGTTGTTGCCTCAAGCAGATCTGATTTTTCTTCTCTACCTTCTCTTTGTTAGACAGACTAATAAAAAATAGTTTTGATGTATGGAGATCTGGAATAAGACCAGATCTCCATAGGATGTTACTTTATCTTAACTGCTATTTGGTTGATGTTATCAACCAAAGAGTTAGTCAGTCTAATCACTTATTTTCAATACTTGATTTTTGTCTTGTCTCTGACCCTTGCTTGTAATCAGTTTCATTTAGTTCTCCTTTAGGTGGTTCAGACCATCTTATGTTTATCTTGTATAACTGTCTTAATAATAATCTATAATTATTTTCATGATTTTCTTTGTGGCAATCCTTGGGTATTTTGATCCAGGAAATTATGTAGGAGACAATTATCTTCACTGATAATTGTCTTCTACATAATCTCCTGGATTCAGGCTGGTTAGACTTTTTTATTCTTTTTATTGATTTTTCTGAAAATCCTGCATAAGAAACTTTGTTTTTAATTTTTAGTGTTTTATTTTAAAGTAGTTTTATGTTTCTTAAATATTGTTGTTTTTTTATTGTTATGTTTATTTATTTTTTCCCCATAAAATATCATTGCATATATGCATGCACATATCGCATCAATGCGCACATAAATTGACTGATATTGCAGTGTACATACATTCACTTAAATAGGATTTAAGTGAATGTATGTACACTTTATATAAGTCAGTCGATTTACATACATTCCACTTAAAGTGGAATGTATGTAAATCGACTGACTTATATAAAGATAGGTATAGCGGACACAGTGCGCTAAATTGACTGCTAGGTTTTATGTCCGCCCACTCTGAATTTTTTTTGTTTCCTATGAGGACACTTACCAAGTATTTGTAAAAAATAATAATTTTAAATTCACATTTATCAATGAGTGTCTGAAAAATTGTTTTTTATGTGTACCCAGACTCCAAAAAGGTGGAGTGGGTGTGTTGGAAAAAAGTGTGTGGAAAAAAAAATTATAACTTTTTTTTTGTAATCAGATTGAATATATTGATGAGAGTCAATTATAAAACATTTTCTAGTACCCCAAAATTTCCTAGTACTCAAACAAATATATAAACCTAATTTTTTTCTTTTTGGTTTTGTTTTGGTTTTGGTTTGAAATTTAAGCTTTTTAAACTTTTATTAATTAAAATATTTTTAAAATCAAGATAGTAGTAGTAGTATAATTTGTTACAACAAATGTAAAGACAATTGACAGAATACAAATGTAGATTGTCAAATCATAGATAACATTTGTGAAGCTCATAATGCAACTTCCATCAAAGGGAATTGCGAGCTGTTGTAACTTTGAAGCCTTTCAAGTCTCGCTTTAAAGCTGTTGACAGATGAAGAGTAGACTACATTATCTGGCAAGCTGTCCCATGTGTTGGCAATTTGGTTATTAAAAAAATTAAAACGAATTAAATTGTTGTTATATTTTTCCCGGTGAAATCTCTCTCTGTGATTAGCTCTCGGCGGAATTGTAATAGGAGGAAAATACCAGTTAATTATGTCAAAGTTTTTTTCAATTTTAAATTTCTGAATGAGGTCACCTCGTTTACGGCGGTCAATTAGAGATGTGAGGCCAAGTTTTTCACATCTAGACTGATAGTTTAAATTTTTCAATTTGTGCGGTATCTTTGTGGCTCTGTGTTGTATTTTCTCAATAACTTGCTCGTCTTTCACCAAATGAGCGTTCCAAGCTGGGATAGCAAATTCAAGTAGAGGACGGACATAGGTGGAGTATAGTTGTTTCCACAGAGAAGCATCACGACGTTGGAAGGTATGTTTTAAAATGTCAATGAAAGATGTCAATGAACTATTTTAAATGATACTTTGTTTCCTGACAAAATCTATCAAAATGTTAAAATATATATGTATATTTGTATATATATATATACATATATTTATATATATATACATATATATATATATATATATATATATATATATATATATATATATATATATATATATATATATATATTTATATGTATACAGTCGACTCTCGATATCTTGAATACTTGATATCTCGAACTTTTAAGTACCTCGAACTTTTTTAGCAGTCCCATGGACATAACGTACTAGTTTAGGCTAAAATCCTCTCGATATCTCGAACCTTAATATCTCGAACTTTTTAGTATCTTGGAACAATATTTTTGGTCCACAGGGCAATTTTCTCTGGTTATCTCAAACTTTTCAACATTTTTTTTTTCAAAAATGTTTTAATAAAATTTAATTTCTTTTAAATTTCAATTTTCGAAAAAAAAAAATTTTTAATTCGATTTTTAAATTCGATTTTTTTTTTGAGTCAAATTTCTGAAAAGTTTTCCTTTAATATATTAGTTTATTCTTTTTGTCAAATGCAACAACATGCCGCTCGTTAAACGAAAACTCACGAACAAATCTATAATAAAAAAATGCAAGGCATTAAAAGACCTAGAGACAGGGGTGTCTAACAAAGAGGTTGCCAAAAAGTATGGAGTCCCAAAGAACACATTATCAACCTGGATTAAAAATAAAACCAAGTTATTAACCTCACTGGAAAAAAATGGCACAAAATCTAAACGGAAGAAACTTCGTAGTGGTAATTTCAAAAATGTAGACAAGGCCATATACTTGTGGTTCGTTGCAAAAAGAAGTCAACAAGTACCAATTGATGGTACCATACTAAAAGAAAAAGCACTAAAATTCGCTGAAGCATTAGGAGAGTTGGATTTTAAAGCATATGATTGTTGGTTTCATAAAAAGTCAGTTAAATTTTGTCAAATCTTGTTCAATTTTAATATAAACAAATAACATGTATCTGTTTATATTTAATTTATTTAGTTTTTTAACGTGTAATTAAAATTCAATTATTCTGTTCCTATTTTTAGAAACGGCATCAGCTTTAAAATAATCTCAGGCGAAAGTGCCGCCGTGACGAATAATATGACTGCTTCGTGGAATGAAACTACACTTCCAACATTGCTTTTGAATTACAATCTTGAAAACATTTTCAATGCCGATGAGTTTGGACTATTTTACCAGTGCCTACTAAACAAAACATACACAAGAAAAAAGTTTAAAAATAGTAGTCAGACTAACAGGCATAGCAGCAGGGAGTGCAACGGGAGAAAAATTACCTATGTTTGTTATTGGAAAATCTAAAAACCCACGGTGTCTTAAGCACATTAAACAACTTCCTTGCACATATAAAAATCAGCTAAAAAGTTGGATGACCGGAGACCTTCTTACAGAATGGGTAATGAAACTTGACTCATTTTTTCATGCTCAAGACAGGAAAGTAGCACCTGGTGAATAACTGTTCTGCCCACACACACATTGAAGGGCTAAGCAACATCAACCTAATATTTTTCCCCCCTAACACCACATCTGTCCTTCAGCCCATGGATCAAGGCGTAATACGAAGTCTTAAAGCTCATTATCGCCACAAAATTGTGCGTTTGTGTATCAAGGCTGTTGATAATAACAAACCCATGCCAAAAATTTCTATACTTCAACCAATAAAAGACCTTGTTTCTTCGTGGAATGCTGTGTCAAAGGAGACTGTCATCAACTGCTTTAAAAAAGCTGGTATCAGCAAAACAAACAAGTATTGAAGAAGCTGATGATGATCACTCTTTTAAATTTTTGATAGAAGAACTTAACCGTTTGCGAGAGTTAGATCCTCGTGTCGTCTAAGAAGATCTCTCAGCAGGATCTTACATTGGTTTAGATTGCGATGTAGTAACCACCGGTTCACTTGCTACTGATGCTGAAATCATTGCTCAGATTTTAGACCCTAATTTTGAAAACGACGATAATGAAGTTGAAGATAGCATAGACAAAGCTATTGACGTTGAAGCCCCGCCACACCCATCTGATATTCAATTAGAAATTGCTTTTGAAACGATTCAAAATGCTTCGCTATAGAGCTCAAAATACGGAAATAAAATACAATCCCTAGCACTAAAACTTAAGGATTTAATGAAGATTGAAAAGATGGATAATTTAAAGCAATATCAGAAACAGATTTTTTCCAAAAGTTGTAGTTTTTGTTGTTAATGATTTTTGTCAGAAAAATAACTTGTTTTAATGAAAGTCGGGCAATTTTATTTATTTTCAACCCTTTTCTTGATATCTCGAACTCTCGATATCTCGAACTTTTTTTCCGGTCTCCTTAGTGTTCGAGATATCGAGTCTGTAGTGGCTTTCTCGGCCTTGAGGAGGTGAATAATAATAAATAAAAAAATGTCCATGTATGTATATATACATATAAATATATATACTTATATATATTTATATTTATATGCACATATATATGTATATATATATATATATGCAAATATATATATATATATGCATATATGTATATATATATTTATATATATATGCATATATATATATACATATATTTATATATATATGCATATATATTTATATATATATATATATGCATATATATTTGTATATATATAAATGCATTTTTAATATATATATATATATATATATATATATATATATATATATATATATATATATATATATATATATATATATATATATATATATATATATATATATATATATTTTTGAAACATTCTGTGTATTTAGTGGTTTCGCTGGTTATCCGGTTTTGCGGTTAACTGGATTTTGTTCGAATATCAAATATCTATTTTCGAATGATAAAAACCGACTTAAAAATTTTTCGAAATTTTATAGAAAGTAACAACGTATGACGTATTATGACGATTATTGTTTGACAAATGTTAATTTATCAAAGATTATAATAAATTTCTTTTATTAATTTAAATGTTAATTTAATCAGTTTTGTTTGATAATAAATTCTTAAAACAATTTACAATAGAAATCTCAAAGATTTATTTATTACTTTTACAACTCAATCAATATATTTTTAAGAAAGTTTCTTCAGAATATTTTGGA